CCACTGCGAGGGTGGGGAATAATGAGATCTGGCCCACAATTTGAAAGAGGCTGCAGTGACACTCAATCCGAGCACTGTAAGCCCTCCCATGTTCTGTAGGACAATTCCTTCAGCGAGCCTTCCGGGCCTTCAACTCAAACCCTAGGACAATGTGGAGCCTAAGGGGAGCATAAGGGTGCCCAAGAAGGATCCTATGTGGATTCCGAGAAACTCGCACCTCCTTTTTGCCGCGTTTAGGTGAGCTATAGTCAAAACCTGAGGCCTGAAGCCTGATCTCAAATTTGGGCAATTGGACAATCCTGATTTTTGTGTTTTGTTTGAAGCTTTGACGCCTGCGGCCAAAAAAAAGGATCGGGGGAACATTGCGCCATTGTTACATAACGGCTGTGAGGAAATGGTATAGAAGCTGGAGTTGTTCACACTTCTACATTACCTGGAGGCTCAGGTTGTTATCCTCCAACATTTCACGTTCTCGCCAGCTCCATGTGGCTCTAAATGAGGTAGAGGTCCAGCTTGGTCCCCAAATGCCATGTCAAGGAACTTGATTATGGTTCAAGGTATAATCTCGGATACTAGGGGGACTCTATAGGCGTTTATAAGGTTGTAAACGATATAGCTATAGGGGTATATGACCCAATAATGATGGAGAATCAACTGGAAAGTGGGAAGGAAACTTATGTCCATCCTGAGTATTCCTTTAGCAACCCAAATCTTGCTGGTAGCCCATGTGATTGGATTGTCTTTATCCCCAACTGCCGCTTCTGACACCTCCAAGCACCACGAAGTCATCTGGCAAGGATCCCATAGAGCCATAGTCTAAACTCCTTGTGTTCCCGTATACTACTCCCCTATATAACTCCCTGCAAGGAGTTTAGACTATAGCTCATCTTGCATTGAAACCTAAACCCTAAACCGGAAAGCTCGATTCAGAGAGTGCCGCAGCTTGAGGCTACAACTACTTCACGGAGAGTCAGGCTGCAATCAATCACATGAGCTGTAGTCTAAACACCTTAAAACCTTAAAAGAGGTTATATAGGGGATTATATAGGGAGTATTACAGGGGCCATTAAGGGGGATACTAGGAGTTTAGACGAAAGCTCACCTGTCCTATTGATGAAACCCCACGCCCCGACAGCAAAGATTCCCAATAAGATACGATTTCATTATACCATGCGCCCAGGGACCCGCAACCACGATGAAGCCACCCTCGGGATTCTTGCCCAGGTAGAGCCTGAGACTGTTATGGTTCTCCTGAATTCCCAGAAATTTTTCTCTGTTACAATTACAAATAGTATTCTTGCTACTATTGTTATTGCTATTGTTATTGTGTGATATATCCCCTGTATAGCTAAATAGCCTGATCAAACACTTTATAATCCCCATCTATCCCTAAAATAACTTTTTGCAAAGTCTACTTTCCTTTTTAAGAAGGCCTAGATTGACATTGGATTTGCTGCCTGTGTCCTGCTCGACCTTGGTACAGGCTGTAGGAATCTTGCAGTTGAGGTTGATGGGAATCTCGTCTTCTTTGTCACACGATTCAAGAATGCTGCGTATTGCAGATACGGCTGAGGGAATGTCTGAGATTAGCATGACCAAGGTGCGGATGTTCTTGGGTTAGGGATTGCCCTGCTGTATGGGTCGTGTTGGCAAGTGACTAAACCTGAATACGCATTCTAAGCCCTGCAGCCCACACCGATCCCTGTGACCACCAGAAGAGCGCAATCAGCCAAACAACTTGCCATCAACTCTCTAAACATGTCGAGCCCTGGATCCTAAGGCACATGATTTGCGAGGCAGCTGACAGTCTATCTGGTATGCTGGTTCCCCACTGCAAAGAACTCAAAATACTCCCACCAAACATACTGTTGATGGAGGAAATCCTGCACCACCTTAAGTCCCTAAAGTCCCAGGAATTACAGTAGCTTAGGGCCCCTAGGTGGTGCAAGATTTCCTCCATCAACAGTAGGATGCAAAAGAAATTGCCTATGCACTCCTCGCATGAACCCTTTTAAGTTGAGGAATGTGACGTTGAGGTCTGGGAAACGGAGTTTACCCTAGAGTTCACCATGTGTAGCTGGCGTGCTGAAACCTTCCTGGAGTCCCACAGACTGAGGGCGATACGCTTCATAGCTACCAGCGGTGGTCTGATGTCTCTTCCATTCCTGAACATGAGGCGCTGAGTCCGTCTTCAATGGATTCCGGAATTTTGCAGATCTCGATCCTAATTAGGCCTGCTTAAGATAAGATGCGTGCAAGAAACAAGCACGCAGCCATCAATCTGCAATCCAGGACGGTTCAGCGGTCTGTTTTGAAGAAGCACATGCATGTTCTGGGAAAGCCTAACGCCTTAATTAAGGACCTGGCCACCACTCTCTTCTTGGAGTGGCAAGCAGCCCGCGCAGGAGGAACAACGAAAAGTCTGCAACGGCAGGCCAAGCGGCGTCAGTCACCCCATAGTGGGCCCAATACGCAGCCCCAATGGTCCAGCTGATTCCCATGCCCAGCAAAACATTGACCGCATTGCCTCATGTGTCTTCAGTCCGCTCGGAAAGATGTGATTGGCTACGTTTTGAACGATCCTGCCGTACCCTCGCGTTGAATTTCTAAGGGCCCGTGGATCTTGGGGATGGTGCTAGGAGGTTTGCTACCCAATATCTAAGATGATTACAACAGTGCTTACCACCCACTTCTGGTGCCCTTTTGCCTTGCATGCTGTGACCGCCCCCTCCTTTGGATCGTTTCAGGGATTGATCCGGCTTGCCAGAGTTGGGGTGTTTCTCAGGAATTGTTGCTTCACCTATGTACGCACTATGATCATGTAGTCCCTCTAGTAGGGACCCCGGACAGGAGATCAATGATGTCAAGTTCAGATGTTTCCGGCTTTGATGGCAGTCCCAGCTGGCCATTGCCAGATTTGAGGACATAGGTCTCTGGGTTTAGGGCTTAGGTTGAGGATTTGGGGTTTTGGGACTCCAGACAAGAGCATTAAACCCCTTCAGCCAGGAGGCTCCCCGTGATGTTACCAATCGAGTTGTCTGCGGTGTCATCTGACTTCGCGGCAGTTCGTGAGGCCATGGTATCCTCGATGATACGAGGACTTTGGTAACCGGTAACCCCAACCCCTGTTATTTAGACTCTTTATGACGACTATCATGTGTCTCTCATAGGGTCCTTATTTGGGGGTTCGGGGTACCAAACTTCTCTTGTGACTCGCATGAAGTCATATTTTGTATGGGGTCGGGTTACCAAAGGCCTCTTTCTAGTGAGGAGGTAATTGTGCAAAGATTCCAAAGGATGATGGACACAAGCAATCGGGCCTGTACAGGGACTGAAGGAGGTATCCTGCCCTGCACCGAACATTCCTGGAAGTGGATCCTGAACAGAGTATGCATACCCTCACCCTTGTTATTCTCATGTATAATCCCCTTCCCCTATACCAAACCCCCGCACCCGCCTAATATCAAAAATTCTAATATAATATGATGTAATATACAGTACACTAATATAAGATAAAATACCCGGGGAGGGCATTTCTCAACCCTTGGACCCAAACCCTACCCCCTCACGCTGACCGTCAACAAGCATGAGAACAGAAGTCCAAAGAGCAGCAAGGGCAAGCCGCAAAAAGGAGCGAGAATAGTGGTAGGGTAGCAATGAACCTACTATAGCTTGTCCGTACAGGGGCTTTCCCAAAATTAGGGGTACCATCTCGGGCGGTCCCTAAGAGGAGGGTCATAGAATTTTGGGGTATATGTAGGGGTCCCCCCTCCTAGGGAAACTACTATATGTCATATGGCCATACTGTGGACAGTGGAAACCTCCGCTGCCCAGGTTCCCTAAGGAACTATAAGTCTTGGGAATGTGTACTTCGGATGGTCCTGTTTTTTGGAGGCCTCCAACTGTTGAGATAGCTTTGTAGGTTATATCGTTCACAGATCTGTCCCCTCGAAATCGAAGGACAACTCAAAAAACTTGCTCTGCAGCCCCGGAGCAGGAAGACTGGTCCCAAGCGCTACCAGGGTGATGGCTGTGAGGTCATCTGCCATGCCTGGTCAGACTTGAGTATACAGGGTCCTACGAGGGATTTTGAGTTTTGGCTTCGGAGGAATCTACAGCGGCTATGTCAAGCACATGTGTCAAATGTTCGGGGAACAGTTTGTGAACCTCATCTGTGTGAGGCAGGCAGAGGTGTGGGCATGAAAAGGCAATCACAGTTTAAAGGCAGATCCTGTTCATGAAACTGTCGTCCCAACGGGATACTTCCTTTACTCTCCGCAAAAGAAAACACCCAAGTATCCCAAAGCAGGATGCCCCTGTTTATGAGGCGTTCCTGCCCCCATCCTGGTGGCTTGTCAGAATGAACATCCAATTTTGAGAGCAGCCTGCATTAAGTAGGGTCCCAGCATTCTTGGGCTGGTACGCAAAGCTGACCGAGAGGCAAGGACAATAGCTAAGTCCACTTGTGAATCCTAGTCTACCCGGTACCAACCTACTCAGTTTCTGCTGCTAAGAGTTACTGTCCACCTTGAACCCGCAGCCTTGACCTTCAACTATCATCAAAATCCTCTGGCTCTCTAAACAGCGCTTCCGGCCTACAGAGCAGCCGAGCAGGCTAGCAGCATCGTTGATGACCTCAGATAAAGCTGGTCGTTAGCAGGATGGGGTTCAAGCCCAGGAGCGGGAAGAAGCCCATGCCAAGAAGGATTATGGTACCCTCAAAGTCTTTCTTAAGGGTTTTGATTAGGGAGCTCTAGGCTGGGTAGAGAAGGAGGGAATGAATCTTTGGAAAACTTCCTACCACCCCCATTCTATAGCATACCTGTCAACGCCCGAGTACTCCCATCTTCATTCCCTACTGGGTTCCAACAAGTAATCTGCCATAATTTGTTCAAACTTTGGCTACTTATTGTTTCCATTCTATGCGAAATCATACTAGAGTGTCGTCCTAACATCAGTAGCTCTACAAGGCAGCTCTGACAATGGCTAGCATTGACTGTAGGCTGAGGTCGCGGCAACTGTTGCTAGGCCTATCCCGATGAGGGTGCAGAAGAAGGCTGGGTAGGCGCCGAGAAGCGACGGAGGAGGCACCTGAATGCATGGCACCTATATCATGTCCTACTACATTGTAGTATGTTATACGAAGTTATACATATGATACAAAATGTTCCTATATGATACTATATTCTTCTACACCATAATGTAATGTAGCAACCGCTTTAGTGTAGAGGACCCCTATAATGTGTTTTGTTCCGGGGGCCCGAAAAACAAAGGAAAGATTCACAACTCTCCCTCTCAAATCAATCCACAGGGACGTCAGAACCGAGGGAGGCTGAGGGCCCTTATTCAGGGTCCTTAATTTGAAGGTTTTTTGAGGGCCTATTCTTAGGGGGGCCCCCAACATTAAAGAGGGTGCCACATTATCATTCAGGAGTCCAGGATTTCTGCGGCCTGGGGTGGGATCCCCTCAAATCCGACCTGTATCCCACATGGTTTGGGATCCAAAGCTTACTAGTGTGTAAGGTTCCTGTTTCTTAATCACGGCCGCAAAATCACGGCTAGTCACGGGTCGCAGCGCTCAAAAACCTGAATGGGATCGAGGAGTTTAAGGACACCCTGCTTTTGAGACCCGGTGCATAACCACGACTGCATAGAAAGGAAGAGTTTCCCCCCGCTTGCGCGAGTTACTTCGAGATGGAGACCTAGCAGGGAAGGGTGCAGAGCCTGCAGCAGCACCGCCTCACTCAAACCCCAAACCTGAATCGCAGCAGGAAGGCTATCATGAAGGCGATCTTCCATGTCAGCGCCAGGCAGTGCATTAGCCAGTCAAAAGCAGTAGCCTGCGCTTGCCTCAGAATGCCCGACAATTCAGGCTTGAGGGTTCAGGGGGTTTAGGCTGCGAATGTTGTGAATGCGCTGGACTACGGGCTAGAATTCAACCGTGAAACGGCTCCAGTCTCCCACCCAAGATACCAATAGCCAATGCCCAACAAAGACACCCTACCACGCAGGAATCCCTCGAGAAGCTCTTCCATTAGGTTCCAACAATGCTCAGACCACAGAACTGCCTGTACCCAACCAAGCAGAGACAATTCGTGGTCTTGCACGGCTTTGCACCCCAGTGGAAAACCACGATCTACATGCTCCTTTCAAAGCTCCCAGTGACCTACCAGACCAAAGGGTTCGAGGTTCTACATGTCAAAGCTGCATACTCCTTATGCTGAGTACTCTGCCTGGAGGGGTTTTGCGAAATGCTTCAAAAAGTCTAGACAAGGCCATGTTTTCAGATGATCACCCGCAAAAGCGCAGCGTCATACCTGTCGATGTCAGTACTTTTACTCAGTAATAGTACTGACATCGACAGCAGTAATAATTACTGCTGCTGCTATTGCTCATGCTATGTTCACCACAAAAATTACAACGACTGCCACCTCCGCCGCCACAACCACCAATACCACCACCAAGACCCGAAGAAGCGTGCGCTGTCAGTCTTACTCGCACTGCCATGCTGCAAGTTGTGGGTGAAGAAACGTTTTCCTGAAATAGTTGGAGAACACAGTTCTCCCATCACTTTGGAGATGTGAAGCTTTGTGATGGTTTTACACAGATGTCATGCCAGGGTGCTCCTCTGCGCTGCCGTTGCAGTAGAAGGCTTCGATGGCCTGATGGTCCGAACGCAGGGCTGAGGCTATGTCTAGAGCTCATTGGGGACAGGGTTTAGAAGGTTAGTTTGGGGCTGGGGCTTCCAGGCGGCTCTGCACAAGACCGCCATTTGCAGAAAACTTTCAATATCAAGCAGACTGGTTTCGATGCATGCAAAAATTTGTGGCAGCCAGAGCCTGCCGCTTTTGACTCCCAAATGCAAGGTCAACAACTCGTACGAACGGTGCAACGAAACAAGGATTCCGGACTAGCTATGCCCGGAGGAGGAGGTTAGCTGCTTCAGGGGATGTTGCGACAAGGATCGGAGAACTCTCTCTGACTTCAAGGCCGTTTGGTCATGCAACTTCTGAAGACTGAATCTTTTGACGTTGCAAGGCCTTGTCCATCCAGTGCGAACAGCTGAAAGGCTCATCCTCTTCCTCGGAGCCTGGCAGCTTAAGGTTCAGGATATGGGAGTGTTTGGCAGTACTTACTCTGCTTGCATGGACGGACCATTGAAATTGATATCATTAGAGTTTTGAAGGGTATAGTAGATACTGTTGAGTATGAGCACAAGCAAGACAATGCTCTGCCATAAGATAGTACAACCAAGAAGAAAATGTGATCTTACTCTCTGTTACCGATTGTTATGTCCTATTTGAAGATACTAAACAAGCCGGTAGAGTCGTGATTTGATGTCACGCAGGCTAAAGAACCCCCCCCTCAGTGCCCGATTACGAGGAATGACTTTGCCCCAGCACCTCCCAGGCTTGAGAATTCATTGAATCCAAATCAGATTCTGAGTAACTTTGGGTATGCTCCGCAAGGCTTCAGATCCAGGGATTGGGGTTAAAGGCTTAGAGTTTAGGTTTAGGTTGTCATGTGCAGATCATGTCGGAAATTTGCTGGAAATAAACACGGCGCTGCAGATATCTATCACTCTGCATCGATTTCCAAGGTAAGAAGCGACTGGTGCATGGGTTGTACACATTCTCAGGTTCGAAGGATTTTCGAGATCTTCAGTCAAGCCTGTAAAGATCCGCAAGCCCCTGACCCTTCATTAACATCAAGCGAGAAACCCAAGTGCTAAACCAAGGCCCTATGCTCATCTTCAACACAAAAGACCGCCTCAAATTCACAGTCCTTCCTATACAGACTCTCCACATTTGCGGGAAACACCGAAAACCCCAAGCCTAAACTGTCACCATTAATAACCCTCAACATAACCCTAAAATCCCCAGGCCCAAGACCCCCCAAGACAAAACCCTGAATCCCTGAAACCCCACATCCCCGACATCCTAAGTCCCCTAAACCCAAAGCTGCCTAAATCCCCCCAGCCCCAAAGACCTAAATCTCATGAATCCTAAGCCCCAAAGTCCCAAAAACCCACAACAAACCCTAAATCAAACAGACTGCAAACCCGGGCCTTGCAGAGCATCCGACCGGGCCTCCGACCTGGCATCCGACCTGGCTTCCGACTTCACCTGCCGAATTTGCAAAAGGTTTAGGTTTTAGGGTTTAGGATTTAGGGTTTAGGACTTAGGGTTTAGGGTTTAGGGATATTACCCCAATCATAAAGAATCAAAGGGAAACAAAATGTAACATGAAAAAGAAGCTGGGGATGCCATAAGGAACCTTATGTCCATCCTGACTGTTCCCTTTGCAGCCCAAATCTTGCTGGTGGCACATGTGACCGGAACCTCCAAGAAACCTAATCCGGAAAGAGTCCGGGTTGAGGGTTTAGGGATTGGCCCTGAGGCTTCAAAGTGTAGGGCGTAAGGTTTGGGTATCTTAACAGAACCTGGGGATATACATATGAGGCATTCCATACATGCACGTTCCCGAGGAGCCCCTTAGACACTCCACAAAAACCCTATAACCGTAAAGCTCTGCCCGATATGGGGTTGTGCGGAGCAGTGTCTAAGAATCATCGGGGCATGATGGGGCGTCCTGGGATTTCGTGGAATTGGTTTGGGAGGACGGCGCTGATCTTCGCGTGCCACATAGGGCCGGACACTCAAGTCATGACTTGAAGTTGCAACACAAAAACTTGAATCCTGAACGCAACCCATCGTCCATAGCCCATCGTCCATACCGTTGATGGAAGAAATCCTGCACCATCCCAAGTCCCGCAAGTCCTGATGATTCGATAGTCTTGGAACCCTAGGTGGTGCAGGATGTCTCTCAACCCTTCCTAAATCCTGAACCCCAAAGCTTGCGGAATTAAGATGGCTGCCTCTGATTTGCCTTCCGATCGGCATGATGATAACGCCCCAGAGGTGTCCGGCTCGTTCTCACCTCACAGATGCTGCATTGGGTCATGGATGATGTTAAAGTATTGGTGGGGGTGGGGGGGATGGGGGGGAACAATGACATTTTTATTTAAGCGCCACATTTTTCGGAGGCTTCAAAGAAATGGTCACGGAGTCTCTCTGCTGCAAATCACCGACCCATTCGCCAGACTCATTTAACGACCTGAAGCTCGGGGGAATCGGCAGAAGGTTCTTGGCCGCACTTACCTTCGAATGTTGGCAAGACTGCCGTACTATGCTCCCAACAAGGCATGTTGATCCTTGATGTGCTTTTAGGCTGTGGTCTGGACCTCTGGGCTCATTTTGTCTCCCTGGGATAGGATTGCACAACCAGTCAGGTTGCCCGAGCTGAAAACAACCTAACCCCCCTAGTTGTAAAGCTGATTTTATACCATGGGTTGACAAGACGAATATTCAGTTGGGCTTAACAATCCAGACTCGTAATTATGATTTCTTGGAATCCTGAATATCGAACAATGGCATGACAATGACCATTTCCCAACCACCAGGAACGACCCTACAACAGACTTTCCTTCGATCACCAAGTTTCGCCCTTTGTAACTCTCATTGGGGGAAGGTGACAAAGCAAAGCTGTTGAAACAATCCTGGCATCATGCAATCCATTTCTACCGAAAGTGAAGCTCATTACTGCGGTGCTCAAGGGTTAAGCACCCCGCTGGGCACAGCAGCCAAATGCGACCTTTTGGACTCCGTACCTGGGCAGAAGTATGCAAATTAGCTATACTCAGTGCAAGCACGTGGTTATGTTCATGTTCCTATCATCAGCAGCTTAGAGCAAGAATGACAAGCACAGGGATCATGGTGCTCGTGGTTAAGACCCTCCTGCATGTCAACATATGGCCAGACTCCATTTTCACTGATGGATTAAGCATGTAAACTGCAGATTGCCCCGCCTTTGCAGACTCCTCAGAAAGCTGCACAAAACAACCCGAAACAGTAAAGCCGACCCTCAGCCCTAGACAAGTTTAGCAAGGGCTGCCTGCGTCGCTGGTTGGAGATAGCATCACTGTAGTGTGGCCGCGCGGTGATCCTTTCACGGCTCTGTTAGCAGAAGAGGCAGCTAGCATAAGCTCTGAACACCAAAACTCCGTGCCAGTTCCAAGGCGCCTGAAACCTGCTGCCAAAACCCAAAAAGGCCCACGCCCGGTGCCCAAAGCCCTAAACCTCAAGAAAATATGGCTTTATGAATGCTTGGCAGCATGGAATGCAGGAATTACTTCTGTACCTGCAGTATCCTGTGATCAAGGAAAAATGGGTTTAGCCTTAGCTATTTTCATTTCTTGCGGGACAGGATTTGTGCTGCCAAGGCACCGCCATCATCCTTGATTGCTGTGCATGTAAGGGGCTTGAGTCTTAAAAGTTTTCATGAGGTGTAGAGACCAGATTTTTCACACTTGGCTCCTGATGAAACCATTTTGGAGATGCGAAATACATCTCCAAAGAGAGGATATTTCAAACGTCCGAACTTGCCTGCTACTACTCTTCTTCCATAAGCATGGCTTGGGGTTCTTGGGGAGGGGCGTTCATGGGCCTCCGCCTTCGCAATCGCACGCTTCTTGCCCACAAAAGAGCTAAGCCCGAACGCGTCGTCAAGAAAACTGAAAGGAGGGAGGGAAGGAATTAGTCAAGGAGGGAGGGAATCAGGGGGAAGCAGAAAACAGCGTCTTGCAACCCAGATCATGCCTGATAGCCCTGCTCACTGAGGGCCTGCAACAGACTAATTCAGTGCAAGCAAATAACACACCCGAGACCACAACCCCAACTTCTAGTTCATCCTAAAACCTAAATATACTTTAAACCTAAGCCTTAACCCCAAATCCATAAACTCCCAAGGCCTCAAGCTCTATCCCTTAGAACCCTGAACCTCTGAACCCAAGAAGACTGAAAACTCCGTGCCAAGCCACCTCGGGATTTGAGATGACCCAAACCAAACCTACGCAGCAGCTCCACGAGGGAGCAAAAGAAAATGTGACGGGCTGGAAGGATTAGGAGCTTGGGATGGAGAGATTAGCATTTGAACTGTAGCCTAAACTCCTGAAAGCCTGGTGACATAGGGGATTACATACGCGACCATTATAGGCTTATTAAGGGGGCTACTAGGGGTTTAGACTATAGCGCATTCTAGGAACGGTTTAGGGTTTAGGGTTCGGGGCTTAGCGGGTTCAAGGTTCAGAGGCAGGCGGACAAGCAACGTGAAACCCAAGCAAACTCAAAAAGACTACAACATCTAGAGCTTGCCCGACCTCCGAAGGAATAGAGCTCACAGAAATTAATGTCTTCTTCCGTGGCCTTTCTAACTGGCTTGTTGCGTTCTCCGCAACCAATGCCAGGATTGTAAATATCAGGGCATGATATTCTAGTTCTTTTTGGCTTTTACATGAAACAGAAATCCATCGGGTGATCTCAAAGCATCCCCATGAAGTGGGGAAGTCAATTCCACAGATTTCAGGCGTGAGTAAAAGGGCTATTTTTCGAGAGAGGGATCTCTGATTTTTGAAGCTATAAGCAGGAGATGCAATGCTGACCAGGACAGCAATAGCAACAATGACAGTAGCATTTAAAATATGCGAGTAGCATAAACATGACCATTGCAGTTGTGGTAGCAATAGGCTGATGCCACCGTGCTAGCAACATCAAACATGGCAGACGCTTTCCGCCAAGGGGCAGCCGCCACTTTGTGCCAGAATCGGTGGGGTCTTTTTCCCGTCGACTCCTTCTGCTTTGATCCTGGGCACGGATTCTTGGGGCAGTTGGCGTCTGGTGTCTAGAGCGCAAGTACCAATTGCCTGTTGTCTGTGCTGTCTGTGAACGTCAGAAGCTTCGCGAGAGTATGTGTAGGGTAGGGGAAAGCGTGTAAGGCTCATTTGCCAGGCATCTCTGTCAGCTCCACATAGAATTCTTCAGGAGGACCTCTTGCCCCCATCAGTGGTATCCTTGGGTTGCGGCTCGACAGTGGTCTAGGTCCCAACATCAATGGTTCTGTGACATGGCTATGGCTGAAGGAGCCTAGAACTGACCAAATTGGTAGCATCCCCCTCAGCAATACCTGTAATAGTCCCCTATATATAATCCCCTATATATTTGCCCTGCCCCTTCAGTAGTCTTGCTTTGCCAAGCATCCTAAGTTCCTGCTTGTCTTGCTCGGGCACGAAATGCAAGACACCAGATTTCTGGTGATACCTCGGCCAATCAAACACCCAATTGCTCAGAATAATATATTCATATGAGATTCTATGTAGGGGCCATACAGGGAATATCTTTAAAAAGAACTTCGGAAGCCCGTGACAAAGACTCATGCAGCCACGCTACCGCTTTCCTGCCTTTGCCATTCCATTCCGTGTGCGATACTTGATGCGTACCTCAGCCACTTCTCTTCCTAATGCTTGTAGAGAGATAAGTAATTCTGGTACGAAAAGAGCCGCAGTCCCTCCTAACTGCTGTAGCCAGGTCTTCCGGCACGGCATGGGGGTGAGTCCTCTGGGCTGTATGAGTGTTAAGTAAGAAGTCCCCTCTCTGGTCATCACTTAAGACCCCCTCCCTGCTGTCCATCTCATCGGCCAAGTAATTGCTCTGAAGCTGGTGGCAGCGTCTTGTGGTTTGCAGCACTCATGGAGGCCGATGTCTTGGGTGGACCTTTCTGGCTAACTGCATTTACTGAACTTCCAAGCACCGGGCGGGTGATGGATGTGGCCCGTTCAAGGCTGCAATTTGCAGGCTCGCGAAGCCATCGCTCTCGTAACAGACTACCTGCGCAGGCTCCGCACAGGCAACTCAACATAACAGAGATGAGGATGGATGAATATTACGCACGACTTTAAGCATAATGGCTATAGGTAGAGCCTCGCACCGAGATATGCAGGTAGCATGAAACAGCCAGAAACAGTGGAAGACCCTGAAAAGCCAATCCATTCAGGGGCTGAGACCAGGCGGCCGTCAGCAAGTCAACCCGGTCTACTAGCAGGGTTTGAAGAAGCTGCGTTCTCATGAAGACATGCACGCAGCACCCCTTGCCTGAAGAGAGTAGGCATGCATCACAGTAGGAGGGTGTGGACAAGGTAGGAAGACATTAAATGGTAACAATCTACAGAAAGCCATGTTCAAGCCATGTCTTAAAATCAGATCGCCTTTCCCGCCAAGTGCTCGAAGTCGCTCTCCATTTGCTGGTGGGGGGTGGGGGGGCGGAGGGGATGTGTCTCAAAAAAATGGTTCCATCCTAAAGTCTTGCAAACCAAAGGCTAAAACTGTTCATTGCATATACAAGCCCCGACTATCTATCCTGAACCATATCTAGACTCCCACACTAAACCCTACACGGCCTCGGACTCGAGGAAGCCATACGCAAAGATACTTGGCTGCTTCTTCCCCCCAGTGGAGAGTCGCAGAATTTGGCCTGCATGTCACTCACCGGCTGGCTAAACATAATTTACTTCGAGCATCCCCACCCTAAAGCCGTTATTGCACAAGAAGTGTAACGTTTCCCTGCCCCCCCTCAACTGTCTTCCTTGCAGCACTGCAAATGCGCTGCAAGAATATTGATACTCTGCTGTTGG